CGGCGCTTGCCGATCGAAGACGGCGTCTCACATACAAGTGACCTGCTTTCTCTTTTTCCCATTTATGCGCACCACAAACTTTACCCGAAACGTTTAAAGTTTTGCCGCAAAAGTTATAAATTTTAATGTGAATGCCATTGGTTTTTCTTTCGCTTCTTGAGCCAATAATTTTTGTTGTTGTTGTTTTTTTTTTTTTTTTTTTTGGCAACATGTTGCACGTTCACAGGGAATCTCGATGCTTCGGCAAACAGGTTGCAGGCATTTCAACACTTGTCGTGCCCTGAACATCCCATTCCACCGACTGGTCCGGGGCCAACCTTGCCGGCTCTGTCACTGCCGGCTCTGTAATTGCCCCGCCAGCACGTGTTAATTACGCAACTCTTGCGCAGCTTTTCACCGGCCTCTAGGCCGAGCCGAGTCAACCTAACCCAACCCGACCCGACCCGGTGTACATAAAATAGAGGCACATTCTGCTTTTACCTAAAAGCTGGTGGGTTAAGGAAAGTACTTGCACTTTGATTAATAGCGAAAAAATTAGAAATTTATCTGCTAACGTAAGTGATTTTATGCACCAAACAAACATGTAGATCATAGGATAATTTATAAACTATTCAACAGATTTAATGAAAACCAATTGTCGAGAAGAGTGTTAAATAACACTTAATGCTAATGCTATTGTAAAACTAGAAGAAAGCTAGCTTAGAGAGTGCACGAAGCTGCTAATTAATGTTCACTGATAGGAAAGATTAATGCCATCTCGACAGAAATTGACATTCAATCCAAATACAAGAATCCTATGGAAATATATAGTGATAGGAAATGGGTTAACATTAAAGTAACAATTGTTTGTGTGCGAGATCAATTCTAAATTAGTGTCAATGTTTAACTGTTGTTTCATATTCAAAATATATTTGGAATATAACTTATTTGACATGAGTATGGCTTATTTAAGTTAATATATATTTTATATTCAGTTCAATAGTCTATGATCACTAATATGTCGAATAACATATTCGATGATCTCTTTCACTAAAAAGTCAACGATTAAATTACGAACTAAAACCATTAAAAACGAAATCTTTTAAATTTTAAGTCCAAACTTCAACTACAAAAATAATCAGCAAACTTGAAATGCTACGACCATTAACTTATCATTACTTGGTCAAGTATTAATCACTTAAATTAAAATATATTGCTTAGCATTTATCGATAAATCGCAGCTTAATTCTCATAAAGAAATTATTAAAAATTTTATTTAATTCTTCTCAACTGTCATTTTTTAGTGACCATCAAATAGGTATCAGAAAATTATTTATTTATTTATTTTCATCAACAAACAAAGCTGCAGATGTAAAAAATCAATGCAATAGAGAACTTAAAAAAAATAAAATTTGGAGTAAAAGAGCATACAAAAATTACAATAATATATTCACAGCCCAGATTAGTCAGATATGCTATTAGACATTATAAATAGAGATAAAGAAAAAAAATCAGAAGTAAAATTAAATTAAACTGAAATACTTAAATTACTTTATCTAAGACTTCTAGTCAAGTGCATGTTACGTCCACAATAAAGATAAAATTTGGCTGTTCGACTGTATGAACGCGTTTAATTTGAAAATAAGAATATTCAGCTACTACTTGCATATCAGATTTATATTTTCGCTTCAACACAGCCCCAATACCTTGTGCCTTTAATGTTCTACAAAATTAGATTTGCATATCCAATCACATATATAAAAGTCTTAGATCTCCAGAATTCGAATAGGATTTCTGATGTGTTTAATTAATTTAATTTCGACACGACAGTAACGATTACATCACCATTAAACCACTATTGTTAGTCTGGCATCTATCTGTGTATTTCCACTCTCTTTGCGTCAGTCCCGCCTGCAGTTTTCAGTTCAAATGGTCAAGTGCTGAACGCTAAGCATTTTGCAAGCTAATGACAATGAGATGTGGCCCCTCCATTCTCCCCCTTTCCCCTCCATTCCCCGTCTTTCACCATCTGGCAGCGACTGGCCCTTGAGTGGCTTGTTGCCGGCAAACTAGTTGCTCGGTTTGCCTTTCTTTGTCATTGGTGGCATTATTTGTTGGTATTCCAACTATTTGTATGACTGACTGACTACCTTTTATGTGTTTAGTGCTCTTTAGATGGCTTTGAACTTTGCACAGCAAAATGTTGTTTATGTTTGTCTAGTTATGTCTATGTCTATGGTTATGGCTATGTTCGTGTGTTGTTCAGTTATTGCTGAAATGACAATTGAGCCGCAGTGTTGGCGCTTTTGTGGCTATTACCAAGTGTACAAGCTGTACAGTGTTAATTGCATATTACGCCTATTGAGGCTTTTGTGTTTATTATATGATATTTATTAAAACTGCCAGCGATTGTTTATAGTTATAGTTACGTTTTGTTGCGTTGTGTGTTGACATCGAAGCAAATTATAAATGGTTATGTGTCTTGAGATCTCAATCGAAACTAAACTGAAAACCAGGGCCAGTAAGCATCAATAATTTTTTTTTTTCTTTCTTGAATGAATTATGCAATGCAGGCCTTTCAGCTTTTGCGTTAATGCACTGTTCAAGTTTTTGTTTTAAGAAAAAATAAATGGAAAATAACAAAAATTTAAAACAAGGCTACTTTCGCAGAGCAATTAATTAGACAGTTAATAAGGAGGCATATAACTCATACATCTTGACAGCAGTTGTGGCAGCAAAAACTTGTTGCATGCTACAAACAACTAGTGGGTAACTGGCCGTGGCATAAAGTTCAACGATATTGGCGACAACTAAATCGAAGCAATACAACACAACACAACACAAGACATTCGCCAATTCGCCATTTGAAGTCAAAGTTGGCCAACTAACGGAAGCAACTACCAATTCGTGTATGTAGTTAGTATACCTATAGCTGGTTGCAGTTTCACAAATGGCCGGAAAACATTGCGAATTTTGTTGCAGCTCTTATTAGTTGTTAAGTTGAAGTGTTGAAAACAGAAAACAATTTAGTTGCAGCATTTTTGTGAAACCCCCATGCTTGTCTGGAAACAAATGGTGACCCCTTTTGCGAATTAGGATTGGGCCAAGCACTGATTAGCACGCATAGAGAAGTTGAACAGGTTGTGCCTGCTGCGAAGAAGTTGTGTGGCAATTAGTCTTTGCCTTTCACCAAACACATCGCAGCTACACTGAGAACAAATCCATTAACAATGCATACATAACATACATTCTTTTTTATCACTTGATTTTTTCTCTCATAACCAATTATTGAGTTCATTTTTTTGGTTGTTAAAATACAAACAAAATTTTAATAAGCCAATTTTTTTTATTTTTTTATGTTTCATTTGAAAAAGTACGTTTAATGTTTTCTCAATTAGTTGGACAGTTGGGAATTATAAGGCAAACAGTGAGAATATGCTACCACCTATCATGCTTATTAATTTCATTATAGTACCATAATCTGATTTGGATTTCTTCAAAGCAAAATTATTTATATAATTTCTTAATCTTAGCTTAAATTAAATCTCGGTCTGTTCTAAAAACGTATCAATAATTAAGACTAGATTTTCTTGCTGTCTGTGCAGCTGTCGTACGAATGCCTCTTGAGAACATATATGCGATTCGTTTGATTGCTTTAAACGTTTACTTTCTAATTATTCAAGCGAACAGATTCTCCAGAAATTCAATTTATAATTACTCCTGCAGCTCGATATATTGCGTGTCATATGCTGCATGTTATTATGAAGCCTGTTTCCATCTAAATAATTATTTCAAACTAGATAATGGAATCAAGAACAGCAGAGCTTAGTCAATTAGTCAAAGGCTAAGAAGTTGTCTAACTTTTATTTGCTGCATTCTATAAGAGTATATATATATATAAGTATCTGAACCAAATATAGAAATATTGGTTCAGTCTTTTTAGATTTTTAGATATTATTTAAGATGAACCTCTTCTGATTCCGCTCTTCTTTCTAATATACACCATTTACACACTTTTCTTTTGTCCTGCACAGTAAATATTTGAGTCAATATAGGCATGTCGACTATACGTCTGCACGTTTGTTCCTCTATTCGTCCGTATGAACTTAAGTAACTTTTGAATCAAAACAGTTAGTGACACAATACTTGGCATGTCTCATTCATATGCAGATCCAGTTTAGTGCAAAGAATATGTAGTCTCTTTATTATACATACATTTTCTAGAAGAATCCTCAATTCTACTATCAATAACTTTTTGTCGTAACTAAACTTTAATTTAATGATTTAGAATTTTATGAAGTTTCATTGCAAGCTGTGTATTATATATATCTTATAACTATATATTATAATGACTATCTATTCTTTTATACTGGCAATACTGACTTATAATCCATTTTAATGCCTATTCTGACACTATTATATAGCTTTAAAAATGTGTGTTTTGAATTAGTTTAGTTTGTTTTTTAATTTATGTTTTTATTTCCCATTGAAACCAATTAAGTAATGCGTATTCAATATCGAAAAACATTTTCGTTTCATAATTTAAGGCTTCATTTGAAAAAGAAGTACATACTTCAAAATACAGATCATCTTGATAGCTTATGGCTTAGCTAAAGAACAAGCCACTTTCATCGTAATTTAAAGTTAAACGAGTTGGCCTTTCTTTGTCCAAATTTCTAACACTTTCTCAAAACGAAAATATAGATAACCTCGCAGTTTTAAAAACAATAGTTCGATATTCGTTTAACAGATTAAAATAAAAATTTCTTAAATAAACTACAACGTTGTTAATAAACTTAAAATAGAATTAATCAATTAATTAATTTAGAAATTAAAAACAGATAAGATATTACGATACCATCGTAACTTCCCATTTGCTGGCTTTTCTAAAAAACAACACATTCTCCTGATGGTATTCATTCAACGGATTAAAATGAATATTTCTTAAATAACAACGTTGTTAATAAAACTTTTTAAATAGACTTTGTTGAACTTTAATTGAATGTTGATTTATTTGACAGAACTACAAGGACAAGGATCTGGGCAAGGTGGTGCTTTACACGACCAGCATGGGCATTATACGGGAGACATATGGCAAGTGTGCGAATGTTAAGCAAATTTTGCGCACACTGCTCATCAAGTTTGAGGAGCGCGACATCTTCATGAGTGTGGAGTATCAGCAGGAGTTGCGAGATCGAATGCACGATCAGACGATACGTGTGCCGCAGCTGTTTGTCGAGGGCCAGCATATAGGCGTAAGTATCTTTTAAAAAGCAACGTAGAGGCGATATAGAAAGTGAAAACTTGCGCTTTTCATGCCGAACAAGTATGTCTACAGAGTTGTGTTTCGATTTTTCACAGGACGCCGATGCCGTTGAACGTCTGAACGAGAGCGGTGAACTGCGACAATTACTCAAGCCCTATAAGGTGGGTTGGTTGGTTGGTTGGTGGTCGCGTGATGTCAGCATGCGACTGGAACTTGACAATATAAGTAATATGTGCCTCTCTGCCTCTTTTCCCATTGCAGTCGATAGCAACGACCTATACCTGCCAGACGTGCGGGGGCTACAGACTGCTGCCATGCCCCTCGTGCAACGGATCGAAGAAGTCGGTGCATCGAAATCACTTCACAGCCGAGTTTGTCGCTCTCAAGTGCATGAATTGTGATGAGGTGGGATTAGTGAAATGCCAGAATTGTTGAGCTCTACTGCTGTGCTGTGCTGTTTGTGGAGCCATGGAGCCATGGAGCTGTGGAGCTACGAAGCTGGCTAAATTTAATTTATTCGCTTGCTTACCTCCAGCGACTCTGTAATTTGAGGTTTTTTTTTAAACATTTTTTTTGCTTTTTTTTCTACAAGTATTGAGAGAGTTACAACATGTGCATGCATGAATGAATGTATTTGTTTATCTGTCCAAACATTATATGTATACTTACCATATAACAATGCAACGCAAATTGTAGTCGTTTATTCATAACTTTTGTGATATTTGTTGCAAGTTTAAAGCTGGAGCTTGAATGAATCTGAGAGAAAGTTGCACACAAAAACACAAACACAAACATTTTAAAGCATAATTATACACGTACCTATATGTATATATATCAACTATACATATACGAATCAAAAAATATCAAACATAGTTAATAAATAAAACGATGGTATGCTTAAGAGAGTTCTTTGTTTACGTTTAAAAAGTCACAAACGAGTAACCCTTCTATGCCCCGATTTATATTTAGTTTCGATAAAGAACTACTTTTTCCACTAAATTAAAATATACATTATTTTGGGAAAGTAATCTGCTAGTTTGGTTTCGATATGAGAAAGAGAAGAAACAGCTGTCTTTACATCGTTTTGTGTTGGCAAATACTTTATCGTTATGGCGAATTGAAAGATCGATAGCTTGCTTATAACTGGTCCAAAATGTCGGCAAGGCAAGGGAAAAAAGGTTGCTTTCTTACCCCCTTTCCCATTTCTGAGAGCAAGTGTATAGAGAACAGTTGGATCATATGATGAACACAAAAGTTCTTGAAGAAAATTATATACATACTCGTAATCGTTACAGACACTGAGCCTTTATGTGAAAGTTTAAATAACACTAGATGGAGAAAACCGTGTAACTACAACTCGTGTTTGCCAAATAACAAAATCGCCAATTTACTACCGATACGAATGCCATGACCTATCGCGCAATATTCAGCCCAGATCAGATATAATCCGAACAAGGCCACAGTCATTTTTGTAAAGTAAGCATGTCTAAGAAAAGCTCATAAGCCCAGCGTTTCCCCAAACATATTACACTTAAAGATACAAACTTCTGCTTAATACGCCTGATCAAACATGCTGCATAAATTTAGGGCTTAAGCAAAAATATTGTCGAGAAACAGCCATAAAGAGTGCTTAACAGCAATGCTATGCATCTACTTGTATAGCTAGAAAACAAATCAGTGCTGCCAGCTTTTGAGCGTCAAAGAAAAAACAAAAACTGGAAATGGTTAAGAAATTTAAAACTATGGTAAGATTTTTTCACATGCTATGATTACCATAAAGATTTTCCGTTTTATTGGTGTAAGAGAAGTATAAGCTATTCTTACTCTGCACTGAATTAATAAACATTCTTCTACCATCCCAACATAAGTAATTACGTTTTAAGATATGACGATGTGTAAGCAATATCTTCATAAATAACAAATATATATTGCATTGACTGCTATGGGTCTGAACTGATCGTTATCTTCAAAAGTTATCTGCGTTTATGTTTGGATGCTACCATTCTTTCTTTCCTGGGTTACAAGAAACATAGAAAAGTAGTTGTTCAATGAATACTTAAAACCTTTTACGATCAGTTTCCAGTTAATGGTAGATAGTCCGCAAATGAGTTTGATATGAAATCCATTTCGTTGAACCGGTAAACAAACTTCGAAAGGTATACTCGAACTATTTGTAAGGCTTAATTAAAGTTTTCTATTTTATTTTATTCCTTTGGCAATTTTATTCGCTTAAAGCCATTTAACAACGCACTGTATTGCAAATAATCTGCTTGCAATGTCACTATAATTCCATTGCATTCCAGCTGCTATTTGACAATAAATCTCTAGAACTGGCGGATATCTTGATTGAGAGTTACACATAAAAGTTGACTTCGATTTTAGGGTGAACTTTAAGTGCAACTTTTTTCGATACCGATCCTGAGTTTCAGAGCTTTCCGTAGGCGCTATACAAAAAAAAAAACGATTATTTTGAAAAGTTGAGCGGGATTGCAAAAAAGTACAGATGCCAGATATTTCAAGTCCATAATTTCATTTCTAATTTGGGTGTGCTGGCTAGCATAACCGCAGTAAAGAAAGGACATGCAAAGAAGAAGAGAGAATGAGGAGAAAGAGAGAGGAATAAAGCTGCGATGGCAAAATGTAGAGGCTCTAAAACAGGAAGGAGAAAACTTCTAGATAAGAGAAAACGCAAAAATATATTTATATGATATAAAGAGGAAGGTGAACAATTGTTGGACTTGATTTATTTTTTTTTTTTTTTTTTTTTTTTTATTTTTTTTTACTGTTGTTTTAATTTTACTGTTATTACTTACAACAACTTAAATTAAACTTATAGAAATATACAAATACAGCTTAAACTAGGAGTTTAGTCTTATTTAATTATTTATTTCATTTATTAATTATGTATTCTTATATTAAATAAATCTATTGGGAAGATCAGCAGGGTGTGATCTCTTCAGCCTCCTTCTTACTACTCTTCTTCCTTTTCGTCGCCGTTTCAGCAGGCGCCTTGCTGTTGGACTTGAAGAACGAAAGAAATGAAATGTTTTGAAACATTTAAAGATGAAAGAGAATGAAGAGAGAGAGAGAGAGAGAGAAATAAAGTTATAGGAAAAACAGAAAGTTTATGCAAAAAAAGCGATGGCAAAATGTACAGTCCCTAAGACAGCAAAGAGAAAACTTCTGGAATGATCTATTAAAACAATAAATGGCGTTATAGAGAGGGACTGCTCCCACTCCCACAATTGTTGCAGTTATAAAGGGGCAGTGGAGACAGTTATGGCTTTGTTGACTGTACACATAGGCGCAACACTAAAAAGCGATGGCTTTTAAAATTTTCCATAGCATACTTTTAGGCGACATCGTTTAAAGCACAAATAATTATACGTTCGTATAATCACTTATATCTCTGAGACTATGAGAGCTAGGGACACCAAATTTTAGTGCAAAATGCAGTATGTAAATACGCAGAAAATGTGTATTTTGGAAATTCCCTCCATCTCCCCTCACCCCCGCAATTCGTGATTTTCTATAACTCCCGTAATTCTTAGAATTTCTAACTCAAATTTAGCAACTACCTTAGTAATTATTATGGCGTACGCCAAGTTTCGTTATGATAGGCAGATTTTAAAGGACGTTATAGGCATATATACAAATGTTCTCTCTGCCCAAGTGTTGCCCGCAACTGTTGTGGTTGTTGCTGCCTTGGTTCAACATTGTGCTGCATACATGCTCACACAGACACGAATAGACACGCATAGACATGCATAGATACATAGATACATTGCCTATTCTAATATTCTACACATATGTACGGAGTATTTCAAAGTCGGGACACCCCACTTAGCTTCTTTACTTGTTTTTGGATTTGTGCGTTCAAAGAAGGCTCTGATTATTCTAACTTGACATTTGTTTGTCTGATGATCTCATTAAAAAAATTCAGTGTAATTTTACAAATCGTTCGGATAACACTTATAAGATATATGTAATTATTAGACGCTGCATCGCAACAAGAACTCAACGTTGAGCTCCTATTTGCAATTGTTTGTTTGTTTATTTTAAAGTTGAAAATATTGTTAAAGAATTATTAACGCGCACCAATTCATTAAGTTAGTTTAATTAAACGAATGCCCAGAGAGCGCTGAGAGATGGCCGAACAGATGTCCGCATCAGAAGCTGAGAGCGAGGGGTATACAGTGAGCGATATGTCTTCGGCGCCATCTTCTAATGGATCGCAGCACCACTCGGAGGGTCCGGAGTCGGAGCAGGAGCGCGCCTGCTGGATTTGCTTTGCCACTGAGAAGGATAACAGCCTGACCGCATGGGTACAGCCGTGTCAGTGTCGTGGCACCACCAAGTGGGTGCATCAGAGCTGTCTATATCGTTGGATCGATGAAAAGCAGAAGGGGAACACGCACCGCAGCGTCATTTGCCAGCAATGCCAGACAGAATATATCATCGTCTTCCCCAAAATGAGTCGGCTAGCGATGCTGCTTGAGTCAGTGGAGAGATTAGTGAAGTACTCAAGCCCCTATGTAGCAGCTGGTGTGGTGGTGGGATCGTTTTATTGGACAGCCATCACATACGGTGCCATAACAGTCATCCAGGTGATGGGCCAGCAGCGCGGCCTTGCGTTGATGGAGAAGGGAGATCCATTCTTCTTGCTCATCGGTCTGCCCTTCATACCCGTCGCCTTGATCCTGACACGTCTTGTACGCTGGGAGGATGCCGTCCTTCGTATCATTCGGGGTCGTCACACTTTTATGCGCAAATTTCCGCTGCTCAACTGGATGTTCAGTTCCGAAACGGAGCCCGATGTACCAGATGTTGGCTCCAATGCATCCAATGCCCAGCCGCCGGCTGCCGCCGAACGCATGTATGTTTCCCGGCTCTTTTGTGGCGCCGTCCTGCTGCCCAGCATCTCAACCCTAGTCGGCAACATTGTCTTTAAACATATGCAGGAGCCGCTTCATCGCACCCTACTTGGTGGCGCCACCTACATTGGCGTCAAAGGTATTCTAAAGATATATCTGCGTCAGAAACAGTATTTGCGCAGAAAGCGCCGTCGCATTGTTGACTACACTGAGGAAAACATTCGTACATTTATCAGCAGTCCGCCCTTGAGCAACAACAACAACAACAACGGAAACAATGGTACCCGCCAAGGCGGCGGTTTTGATGATTTTGATTACGAAGAAGCATACAACGATGATGACGACGATGAGGTTCCAGCCGAGCCGAACGTATTTGCAGAAGAGGATACGGAATTTGCCCCGTTCCTACCCATATCCGCCGATCCACTGGAGCCGCTCTGCTACGAAGGTGATCCCGACTTCCACGAAATCGAACACAACCCCCCCAACTAAGATTTACGAGGAAGAACAAGGGAGAACCACATTTCCTTTTGTCATACACTTAACTCGTTCGATTTAACCGTAGCCGTTCCCATGTACACATACCCTTTCAAAGATTAAGCAATAGAGGTGTACATCTAAGGAAATCCCTTCACCGTTGCTTCCCACAATACGTTCCACTCTTTTGATCCGACTACATTCAAACCAAAATTCTCAGTAAAAAAATTAAGCAACTAACAATATTATATTTGGTTTTCTTTGGTATTCTTGGTACCGAAAAAGAGCTCAATACGGTTCATATTTCATGAATTTTTGCTCATAAGCCAAAGAGACTAATGTGTTAAGGAAATGGACAGGCCATGTGGAGAGGATAGTTGCAATGGCTTTTTGTAGTTTGTAAAATATCTATTACTATCCACTAGTAGTTGTAAGGAAATTTGAGTTATTTTTTTTTAGATTGGTAAGGGGAGTCTTTATAATTACTCAACAATTATTGAAGGCTAATGTAATTTGCCTTGAAATTGGCTAACTACAGAATAATAAGTGGGTAGAAAATCCTCTAAAAGTGACTAGAAGTCTCGTCAAAAAATCCGCTATAAATAGCAAGAAAGTCCACTAAAAAAGGCCATAAAATTCACTATAAATGGTTATAAACCCAGCTAAAATGGGTAGAATATGCTAGAAAATAGATACAAAACCGCTACAAGAACTAGCTAGAAGAACCACTAGAAAATGGCTAGAAAATCCACTAAAAATTTGTAGGAAAGCCGCTAAAAATGGTTGGAAACACATATAGCTATAAAACCAGCTAAAAAATCGATAGAAAACCCGGCGATCCCAGAAAATGTAGTTATATTTCCAATAAAAACATTCCTGGAGCTCTCCGAGAACCCCAAGAAGCGATGACTCTTCAAAATCAAGACCTACGAGGTGGACATAAATAATAAGCATTAATAATTTAAATTTCGCCAGCTGCTCTACTTGCTGTTCATTTATGTGCGCCTGTTATCGAGGCATTGCTTTCGTCACAGAAAAGGTTGCCGATCCAGCATTCAGAACCCTCACATATGAAGTTTCCCCTCAAAAAAAGAAGGGTACCTTATACCTCGACCTATCCTAGAATAAGCAGAAGTTGTTTGTCAAAGTTCTAACTTTAATTCTATGTACTTGTATGCTATTAAAATACGTTCTACAATTTAGACGCGTCACTGATTAAATAACAATGGTAAATAACGAAGAACGGCTACAGTATTCGAAAAATGATTAAGGATCATTAATATTTAGGTAGCATCTCTGTGCACATTTTGGCTGAAAGGATAAACAATTATTCGCCTTAATCGTGCTCCTCTTCCAGAACATAGACTGGTGGACGGGGACATTTGCGACGATCTGGGCTCTTCAGATCCTGATCTTTGCAGCAGTGGTATGTGTTCCAAAATTTGTTAGGCACATATTTCAGAGCCTGTGCGTAGGCTACTGCATAATTTTGCACGCGCACCAGATGCAGATTAAAGGTCTCATATGTGAGTTCCCGAAAGCGTGGACACTTGACGTCATGATGATGCGGTACACCCGGACAATAGACCCAAAAGCGTTCGTCACACTTCTCATTGCGATACTTCCTAATTATGGGGCAGCGTGCATGATGTGGGCTCTCAAAATTGATGGCAGCAAGACAAAACTTTGCTGCATCCCAGAGGAAGGCGACCACTTGACATGTATGGCCCACCTCCTTGAGCACCGCATTCTCTGGAGCACAACAGATTGAGCGGCGTATCCAAGGTGCCAGATGGCGGAAGCGTACCGAGGCCATCACCGTCGCAATAGACTCCTTACGACTTGGCCATTTATAGTCGAGCCAGCGTATCGCAGCAAAGAACACTTCGTCCTCGCTGTTGACACACAGCGTGTCCTGTCGCAGCAGATAGGCCACCTCGTTGACCTCGAGCTGTAGGAACTCAAGGGATGCAACCAGCGGCAAGAACATCTTCCGCACGCGTGTTAGCATCAGCGCCATCATCTCCTCGCATCGGTGTTCGCGCGCTGCCAAATAGGCATGGAAGGCGTCCTGCTCCCACAGGCCCAGATCACCACTGATGGAGAAGGTGTGCCAATACTGTTCGATTAGTTCACGCACGCCCAGAAACTTGGCCGATATGAACATCGGCACGAGTTGCTCCTCAATAAGCAGCTCCGATTTCTCGTCCAACATCCAGCCATACAGACGCGTTAGTACGCCCATCTGAACCTTATGCACCGGTATTTGCAGGAAGAGATTACAGCAGTCGGCAAAATTATTGGCATGGCGGGTGAATACATAGCGATCGACATGGAAGAACTTGCTCTCGACTTGCAGCTCCAGGTTATCGTGCCAGAACTGACGCACAGCCTTGGCTAGCACTTGGTAGGGCTCTGAGGATTTCTATGATAATTTCAAAACAATTTTATAGATCAAGCCGAATCGAACCGGAACATACCTAAGATGTTGCTCTCCTCGGTGATGAAATAGCGCGCCGTGGATACATTTAGATTGGCGCTCAAGGGCTTCCACACCAGCTCGAAGTCGTGACAGGTACGCCTGGCCAGACTAGCCTCCGATTCCAATTCTTTATCGTATATCACATACTTCTGGGTACTTGAATCCCCCATGCCGCCAATTGAGAAAGTCTTAGACACTGGACGGAACTTGCGATGTCGCGATATATCAATAATATTGAGCACATTGTGATCCGGTACCCCCAGACTGAGATCAACATCACGGGCCACGAGATCATTGTTGCTGGTACGCACCACGCATAGCTTCGATCTCACCGATAGGGGGGAGGAGAATTCGATGGCATGTGCCAAGCCCGCCGCCCTGATAAGCTGATGGACCTGATGTCGGGGCACCGTTTGACTATCGATATAATCACGCCAGAACCAGCGGGGGGTCAAAACAGCACCTGACGGTGATATGGTCACACTAACATCGGGCTGATTCGTAAATTTCACCAGCTCTGTATTAGTTTCTACGTTGGGTTCCTCCTTGACTTTTGGCTTTTCAGACATTTTCAAAATATATATACGCCGATGCGCCCGGCGTAAGTTTGCAGTAATTTTTACAGTTAATGCAGCGCCATCTTTATTTCTGAGTATGCAGCCTTAATAATTATGATTATTCAGCACAGAGTAGGCCACGACTTAGCTCTTAACTTCTTCGATTTTTGGAGTTTGGCATTGTCACAGAGCTCGTTCAACAATCCAGTCGATAAATTCTGAGTCGGGCACAGCAAATTTTCAAATATTTTACCCCAAAAAATTTTCTGTAATTCCATTTTTGCAAATATTTCGGCTGCACACCACCACCACCACAATCCCCCCCTTTACACATATACACTTTATACTTAATTCGCCCCCGAACGAATACCTGAAGACCCAAGATGTCGGACAATGCAGCAGTTACTGGCGTTCTTAGCGCCCTGCTCTGCGGCGTTACTGGCTTTGGTTTCTACAAGATGGCACCCCAGGAGCATCCGTATGCTTTTACAGCCTGTGTGATTGGCTTCTGTCATGGATTTCTGGGCCTAGTGGCTGTCGTCGCTGGCGAGAGTGAAAGCGCGAATAGTGCCAAGGAGACGACGACGGCAATTATGGAAATAGTGCCGTTACCTCTGGTCAACATCGAGCTATTCTTTATGTCCGAGAGCAACAATATAGCACTCGGTCATGGCCTCTTCATTGTGCCAATGGCTGTCGACTTGCTCCTGAGCCTGTTCAAGGACGAAGGTGGTGACGAAAATGAGACGCGCGAGACTTTAAAGAATCTAACCATATTGGGAAATATCACGGCCCTCCTATATCTGGCCATTAATGAGAGCAACTGGATATATGGTGGCATGGCCGGTCTCGCCTTCATCGCCAAATACGGTGCGATGTTCATTGATAGCCAATCAGAGGGCTCCGGACCACCAATCACAATGCTTGCGTATACGGGCTTCTTCTACTGCACGGCCATTTCGATGGGTGGGGACGCATAAGAGGGCTGCATGTGGCGGATGACTGTCGTTCTGGCAACCGGATCCATACCCTCCTATCTGGTTGCCATCATTTCCACTCACAAGACATCAAAACTATACAATTTGAGCAGCGCAATTCAATTCTTTTCTATTCCACACTCGAGCACACATTCCACGGATAACAGCATGGACGAGCATGTTGATAAATTCCATATATATACAAATACATTTATACATATATAGCACATACATACATACAAACACATGGTAAACATAAATAAATAAGAGAGAGGCGAAATTTAAAAGCTACTAGCTTTTACTGCGAGCGATTGGGTTAATATCGTCTGCGAAAGAATGGGAAAATCTAGGATATGATTCGATAAAAACCTGATGAAATGCTTTGCTTTTCTTTTTTAAGAAAAGTATTTCTTAAAAGGTTATAACAAATAGATTCTGAGCTATGGAACTGTCATGCAGAATCTTCAGAACTTTAATCTTATAAGGGTATACAATTCATAGCCATAAAAATTACGATTCGGTAGAAGCACTTAAAAATTTCTTGACATGAGGATACAGAATAAGCACTAAACGGATGATATTCTCAAATTTGAGTAAACCATTTTTATACACTGTACCCTTATGGTAAAAAGGATATATTAGGTTTGTGCGAGTGTACATGGAACACACAAAAGGAGGCGTGGCAGACCCCACAAAGCATGAAACAGGCAGATGGAAGCATCTCCGGCCCCATAAAGTGTGTATAATCTTAATCAGCATGAGAGAAATTAATCTAGACATGTCCGTCCATCCGTCTGTCCGTCCGTCCGTCTGTCAGTCCGTCTGTCTGTGTGGATGAACGCCTGGTTGTGGAAACGGCTGAGCGCACATAAGCCAAACTTGGTAAGTAGACGCTCCTAGTGCCTATGCGAGCTTATTTTATTTTTTAGATCCCCCCTCTCCACGCCACAGAGAGTCCACATTTCAAAAGCAACAATAACCAAACTTTGCACACGGAATCCATAAACAATTATCTACTGTTGTTGCTAATTTAGTCTAAATCGGTAAATTTTAAGAAAAGTTATCACTCCAGAACTACGCCCATAAACTGCAGAATCAAGTTCGCTCTTCTTCCTCTTTTTGCTTTTGCTTTGGACGCAAATAACTCAGTAACTGTAGCGTCCTCCCCTCTCTGGAAGAATTACTAATAGCGGGAAAAAAACACAAACTTCTCCTCTTTCGAACCTGGGAGAACTTGGATACCAAGTTTATTATTAAATTTTATTAAATAGGCTCTTTTTCCTTTCATTTACACCTTCCTCATAAGTATTTCATGGCCTTTTAATCGCTAATCAGTTTCCTCATTCTTAAGTCAATTCAAGAAAATTTGACACACAATTCTATTTAGTAATTAAAAAGCTGCTCTAAGAAAAATGTACATACGAGTATGTACATATAGTATGTACTTGTATGTATTATTCATTAATTTGCAACATTTTTCTTTTGGAGAATTAGGCTTTATTTAGAAATAAAATCAGTATCCTTTTATGGGCAACCCAAATTCGTCGAATTGAGGGCTCGTAATAGCGTTATGTTAACTAACATGGCCGCTGTTAATAACAGAGCGCTGTTGATTAACACTCTGCATGCCGTGGTAGACAAAAACTGGCCCGGCAACAGCGCTTGTGTTGCCGACAGGTTGCTGTTGCTATTGCTGTTGTTGTTGCTGTTGTTGCTAGTGTTGTTGGTGTTGCTGTTGGACTCTAGCTTATGTTGTTGGCTGGCATCGGGACTGCCACTACGCTTTTTGGCCACAAATGATTTCAGTACAACGGCGACTCTTGAACGGTATTGTTGGTTGGCGGTTGCTGCACACATTTTTTTCTTGTTTTTTGTTTATTCCTGTGGCACAGACGAAATTTACATATACATATCTATTTATATATATATATGTATATAATATACAATATGTACATTTAGTACAGAAGAGAGGAAGTCGGAAATTTATATAAATTTTTTCAATTGATATAGCTTCGATTTTTTGTTTCTTTTTTTTTGAAATTTCTACTTCGTGCCACACAGATGCATTAATGTACATAAGTATAATAAAAAGCGAGCATCCAAAAAGTATATACGAGCGTTAAGTGAAAAAGTAAGCGTGATTTAAAAAAAAAAAACGAATGAAAAGTAAAATGATTTGAAAAATCGAACAAAATGTAAAACTGTGCTGCACGGAAAGTAAAAACTTGCCAGCGCGAATGTGTAAAAGTTTTTATTTTCATTTTGTGTGTGGTGTTGTTTTTGTTGTTGTTGTTGTTGTTGGTGGTGGTGGTGCTATTGTTGCTGCTGTTACTGTTGCCCATCAGAGCAGATCTGCAGCTACGCATGCGCACAAGATTGCATAAAATCGTAACCAGCCAGTAGACAGCAGCCAATTGCAACAACAACAACAATAACTCACTCAACCCACTTTTCTCTATTTCTTCTCTTCTTCTGGATTTTTTTTTTACCAAACATTTTTGAAATTGCGCTGAACACGACAAACAAATGCAACACAAACAAACAAATTCGTAACAAATATTAAAACGTAAGGCGCTCACATTGTTGTTGTCGGACGCCGCCTGGAAACGCGCGATAAATCCAAATATACGAGTAAATCGTAACGCAACTGAAACGCAGCAGCAGCAGCAGCAGGCAGGCAGTAGCGGCTATAACGGTAGCAGTAACTACAAGTACTACTACAACTAAAAAACAAAACACAGTAGCAGTAACTACAAAAACAAAAGCCTTGCCGCCGCCTTAACTAACAAGCGCCAAAATGCTTCCGGTAAGTTGGCAAATAATGTCTTGAAAACATTTTACGAACAAAATCATTTGGTGCGCAATTAGCGCGACGACCAAAGAAAACAGAAAACTACTTGTATACTATATACCCGCATATATGCCATTTATCTCAAGACTCGCTCCCAGACATTCATACGTAAATTTTTGGGGTCTGAAATATTTTGTTAAATTCGACCGAGTTTTTTTTTGTCTTCGTCACTGTGTTTTGGGAGCAGCAGCAGCAAAAGGAAAAACGTTGTCAGCATTTCCTGTTTCTGTTGCATTTTCTAAGCTGTATTTGTTTTTTTTTTTTCGCATAATTTACAAACACGAATCGAACAAATAGTCCAATTTGCTAGCCATTGTGTTGTGCATTTTAAATCCACAGACCATAAATTTCCATCAGTTTCGGATGCCGATTTCATGGACCATTTGATGATGGCCTTTGGCTGCTCACATCAGTTAATTGATAGAACTAGGCGGAATGCCAAAGTCGTTCTCACACACTCCGATTCAAAAATCAATGAATGGGCAGTTTTTTCTTCAATATCTATCAGTTTTAAAGTGCTTTTTTGAAGCACTCTGAAAACTGTTATGAAAGAAATTTGGAAATTAAGATTTCAAACTCATAAAAAAATGAATGTAATTGATAGCTCAAAGAGAGCAAAGCACATTATATCTTTAAGCATCGTTTGCAATGACTGATGAAAAATATTTTTGAAATGTTATATTAGAAATTAAATAAGATGCAATAAACTATAAATTCTAGCAGTATTTAAGAAACATGTTTCAAGCTCCTTGTTTAGCTCTTCAGTCTTGTGTTACTTAAAGCATTGCAATGCTTTTCTTTTTCTTAACCATCTTAATATACGAGTATTAACCAAAGATGGACACAAACTACACAAAAGGATGTCCAGGCAAGGGCTCGACATTCGTACAATAATTATCTTTTCCTATTTTAAATATTACTTGCATTATTATGGACGTTAAATTTTTTGTAAACGCTTACCTTACGCAAAAGAGGTGCTAATAGTTTTGTACCTCAAATAAGAGCGGCAATATCCTAGAAACGTACAAGAGCCAAATGTTTCATAGGTTCCGCAAAATGTACCTAAATGGGTAAGCAATTTGCAACCGTCGTTTTAAAAGTCTAGTTGTCTTTATAGAAAAATATCTTTAAAAGCATTTGTTACATTTAATTTTGCATTACACGCAGTCTCAATTATTGTGGTCCGATTTAGAAATATGTAGATCAATCGATAGATATTGACATTAAATTTTTAAATATCAGAAAAATTCCAAAAGTGTTGCCAGCTTAAAGTATTTCTGATCTAAAGCATTTAACAAAGTTGACAGGACTTCTGTGCAAGCCCAACGAAATCGAACAATGTTCAAAGAAGTACAAACCTAGAATTAAATATTTTGAATTGTCTTACTTTTAAGCTATCGTTCATACAAATCTGTATAAAACTTTGAGCCCAAGAGAGTGTGTTATTGCTTAAAAGTTTTCAACTTTTGGAAGTTCCTGTAATTGGGATGTCCTCTATCTTTTAGACTCCTGCTCTATTTGAATGTTGTGTTTTGAATATTGCTGAATAGCGGGATGAGCATGGTTCTGCAATTCCATCAGTATTAAATACCTTTTGATGAGCTAAAAAACTAAAATTTATAAAAAAAAAAACAAACTATTTCCCATTTTTGGATGTACTTTGATTCCATATTGTGCTGAGCTTTGGGTTTCACATTTCAATTACGTATGAAAGCATTTCCGTAGGATCACATTTAAAAATTTGAACTGAAGAATGTAATGTTCTTCATTTTCCGAGTGTCAGAAATCAAAATATAATATCTCTTGGAAGCTAAAATACTTGGTAAGACTGCAACTTACAACAATTATGTTGTCAATTTCAGTTCAGATGGAAAATCAAAGCGTAAGGATTTCATTATCATGTAAAAATATTGTCGCCTTATATCGATTGTCCTCCAAAGAGCAATTCTCAGCAGTTCTCTAACACAGGAATGCAGCTGACTTGACTATAAATTTAGCTTTTTTTTAAAAAAAAAAACAGATGTTAGCAAACGATGGAAAGAAGAGATATAAATCAACAGCTAGTCTTGTCAAAGGCACGAGCGGAATTCTATTTTCTGCTGAGCTGTCCATTTTTGCTTTAAGGTCTAAACTGCTAGTCTGTCCAGTGTAACGACTCGCGTGTCGTTTCTTGTTTTTTGAAAGATAGTAATAGTGTGAATGTGATATGGGAATTAAATGAATATCCTTTGCTTTTTGTTTTAACTGCCTTGCAACATATATTTTTGCGTGACTTGACTGTAAGAAGTGACAGTACAAGCTGAAGAGCTGAAGTTAACGCAGAGCCAACCAAGGACAACATCTTGTCTTGTCTTCTCTGGTCTGGTCTGGTCTGGTATTCTCATGTCTCTGTAAGTGAATGCCCAGGCCGTGCCCATTTCGCGTGGCTCATGCTCA